AAAAAAAGTTTAAAATTTCCCAAAATTTTTTGAATGCCACTAATATTTTAATGTAGGATTGGGAATGAATCAATATCTTTTTTAGGATTTGAAGTATTTAAGTTGTAATATAATATTCTTAAGTTGTAATATAATAGTCTTAGGTTTTTCATTTCATCGCTAATATTATAAAAATTAAAATTATATAAAGATATAAAAATTAATATCTGGATCTCTAGAAGTATAATTTTGTTTACTTGAAAAAATTAAAATCGTGAATTTAGATAAAAATTAATAGTTTTATCCATTATAGGTAAAAAAAAGTATAAAGACCAGAAAATATAATAAATTGAAATGCGTAAATTTTAGTTTACTGATTTTTTCGAAAGTCTTTTACTATTAGTTTGTCATAAATAACAATCGAGTACATACCTCGATTGTACATACTGTTGTTCCTGTTGACTTTCCATTCTTTTATAGATAATATTTCTGCATTCAAGCCATCAATTCTGTCGTTAGATAATTTTCCACTGTTTAAGAATGTTTAAGTTTAAAAATGTCGTTTTGCTGTTTTTGAAACATTTCTTTGAATATTTCTCGAACAATACTTATTGAAACTTCTATATCGTCATTAATGCAAGATTCTGTTGATAGCAAGCGAAAAAATAATAATAAAAATAAAACAAAAAGAGGAAAAATATTTATATATTTTTTCTCTGCTAAACAAAACGTGTCCGTTTAACCACGATGTTTTGAGCATGAAAAAAGCTTACAAAAAATGTAACGATTCATTTTTTAATTCAAAAAATCTAGTCAACATTTTGTCTTTTTTTTTTTTTTGTATGTATTTAGGTGCTCCCAGAAGTCCTTACGGTCTTATCATAGAGCACCGCGGGAGAGCATTTAACGGGAAGTTCACGCCTCCTTCCGTACCAATGTCACTTGTTGGGCTAGAGCTGGCGTCGAACCTCGGACCTCTGGGTTCTGAGCCAGAACTCTAACCACTGCGTCACGGCTGCTCTATAAACTTTTGATAACCATCGAACTGAACAATGAATAAGAGTTCTCCGTGTTCATTTGTTATATTTTCAAAAATTAACGAAGCGCTCTTGTTCTTATTTTGTTAATGCAGTTTTAATGACGAGGCCAATTTTCATATCTTTTGAGCACGTGCAGTGCTCTTCGTAAATAATGCAATGGTATTTAAAAAGTTTTATTTATTATTATAATTATTTTTCAAGAAGAGAAACACATCTACAGAGGTTCCCAACCATTGCAGGTGCGCCATCAATTCAAATATTATCCCGTTTATTCCAGTTCAGATTGTGATCATTAGTGTTATAATTTTCAATATATGTTATTAATATTTTTAAAATATCAGATCCAGTTGTTGAAGTTTGAAGCTGACAGAGACCAAGAAGTTCGTGGACAACATCAAAGTTATCGTTGACACAACTTATGTAAACTAATGATTGAGCACTGTCACTTTAATCATACCTTTCATCAACAGCTATTGAAAACAACTTTAAAAGCAAAGCAATGAATTTTGAAAACAAGGAGGCAATGATTCCTTTAAATCCTCATCTGAAGTTTTTTTTTTCTTTTGTGCAAGAAGAAAAAAAATTCGTAATAAATCTTTCATCATTGTTTTTATTTCTTGATGTTTTTTGACAAACGAATTTTGTTGAAATGCCAGTTGAGCTTTTTTTTGAGATACAAAACTTGTTCTGAGAGCAGATACGTAAGAATACTAAATGTTGAATTCATTGTGCAATGTTTCAAAATGTCTTTGCAAATTATATTTTTTCATTACAGCAATAGCTTTAAAACAGATCTTACAGCTATCAGTTCTTACAGCTTTAAAACAGATCTTACAGCTTACAGTTCTTACAGCTTTAAAACAAATTAGGTTTTAAAGATAGAAATTGGATAAACTAAAGATAACAATGTGACTAATACTTAACTTAAGATTAAATTACTTTCTTTAATGTTCAATGAAATAATTTTTTTTAGTTTAACTCATATAATACGATTCAACGCTTTTCACCAGTGGAAAATAAATTTTTACCGTCATTCTCTTAAACATCCATATTGTTTAAAGGGCATTTACAAAAGTCCCTGCGAGCAGTGGTTTGGTCATCACTGGTTTAAATAATAACTTAGTTTAAATGTAGTTAGTCAGATTGACACAGGCATAAACTCAATTTGTTTACGTTTATTTTTGTTACTTACATTTTGTTATTTACGTTTATTATTTACATAACGTTTAAAAAACATTTTAATTCCCCTGGAGCAACTCTCTATCTGTAGAAAAGTATGGTGAATTTAGTGCAAAATTTCAGACTTAAGACAAATTATGCTGACTCAGCATCAAAAAACGCAAATTTTCATTTTCTTTTAAAAAGTTTCGTCATCAGTGTAAGCGCAATGATTTAAATTGCGAAAATGATTATTGAACGAAATACGTTAAATTCTTTATGGCTTATTGAGACAACCAATTTTTTTGTATTGTTGTCCCTCACGGCATTAGAAGCCGCAATGACATCTCAATCTCCAATTATGAAGAATGGCTTAAAACTGCAACTTTTTATTCCCCCTGCCCATTTTTACATACAAAAATACAGTTTAATAAAAACAAAAAAAAAACAAAAAAAATCCTCTTGCAAAAAACAAAAAAAAGGTCCAATGGGGCTGTGGCCCCCGCGGCTCCGTGAGCGGGGGCTACGTGTGATTCTAGTAACAACTCCGTGATACTAGTAACAAAAAAGATAATAGATATACTCAACTATTTTATATCATTTAAATATAAGTATTATAGTGCAACTTATTGTATAGCATGTTTAAAATTCATCAGCACAATAGTTAGGAGGTAAAATCGTATTTTAATCCTAACCTTTGTGACGTCAAAACTTTTTTTTCCCAAAATAAAAAAAATACAAATTACTCATTTTAAAGCGGAAAAAATAAGCTTTCCAATGATATATAACTTGTCTTTAAGCCGGGTGAATAAAAAAAGCAAATGCTTTTACTTAGTAAATGGTCAGCTTTACGTTAATAATAATTTTAGCAATTTTGCTTAAGTTTTCGATCACGTTAAGCTGAGCAATTACTGAGTAAATTGCTTAACTTTTACGTGAATAAAAATTTGAGCAAAACTGGTGAAGTTTTTATTCACGTAAAACTGACTAATTACTCAGTAAAAGCAATTGCTTTTTTTTAGTTTGACTCTTTTTTTGGTAAAATTCTATTGGAGTAAAATGGCGTGAAGCATCTACTTTGAAAATTAGTCCCATCGTAATAATTTAAAGTTCTTCAATTGCTTAAATCAGGGTGGCCAGACAACTTTTGATTCCATTTTCCCTGACTTGCAATTTAAACTTTACATAGCAGCAAAAAAAAGACAACAAATAAAACTCAGAGAACTTTATCCAAAAATTAGAATTTCTCTCAAAAACTGTTTACTTTAAATGAAGAAACATTTTGAAATTTGACCCAATTCTCTTCCCCCTGTTGCCATGCGTATTTTCAAGTCTCCCCCGCCCCCCTAAAAAGTACCTACTCGGTGTAGTTAAGAGGATTTAAAAATTATTCGAATTCTTTTATTTGAAATTAATCTTTTAAAAAAAATCCTTAATTTACTATTGAATCTAGCTCTAATCAACAGAAATATGTCGTAGTCAACAAAATATCATATGGACGCTATAATACTTTAAAATAGTCTTAACTACAACGAGTACATTTTTGAAATACCCCCCCCCCCCCAAACTTTTTTTTTTAATGAAAAAGTTTATAGAGAAAAAAAAAAAAGGTGGAGGTACCTTAGATAATTTAACCGAAATTAAGCTCTTTGTTTGCAGCAGATGATCCCAATTTAAAAAACGTCTTCAAATATATATGCTAATATTAATTTTAATTAAGTTGAATTTTACATTTTTAATGTGTTCGCTTGGCTGAGAGATTAATGCTATAGACTGCGGAGACGGAGACCGGTGTTTCCCGGTCGAGTCATACTTTTATATGTATTAATGACGAATCAAATAAAAATAAACATACTTAATAAGGGACGTTTTTTTCAGGCACCCTTTTTAGTATATCCATAAAAAACGAGTCTACCCCCCTACCCCTAATTTGAGGTAAAATAAACATACTTAATAAGGGACGTTTTTTTCAGGCACCCTTTTTAGTATATCCATAAAAAACGAGTCTACCCCCCTACCCCTAATTTGAGGTAGAAGGGGACAGAAAATTTTGTGCCCTTTTTGAGGAGCTTTTTTTTATAGCAAAATCTTGCGGTAAAATTTGGGAGATTTTGAGACCCAAATAAGACGTTTTCTTTGGTAAGGAGTGTGGGGGGAGGAAAACCTCTAGCCACAGCACTGCTGTAACCTGTTTTTTGACAAAAAATAGGTTGCCTAAAATACGACTTACTCAGGACCAGTATATCCTTACATACACATCCTGAAAGATAAATTTTAGGCAACCTTTTGATTGTCATAAGCCCACAGGATTTTTTGATAGACATTTTAGACAAAGGTATCCGTCTTTTCACGGGAAAATAATCACGTAAGCGTGAGTAGTTAAAGTTTTATTATGTCTGAAGAAAAACTAAGCATGCTCAAGTGATTATTTTCCATTTCCTATCCCGTTCCCATAAAATTACACAGAAGTGGAAACTCACCTTAAACATAACAGTATCGTGAAAGTGTCATGAACATAAAAAAATCCTTCAGATCCTGTGCACATTTGAAGGCAACTAAACATCTTGTTAGTAAACTAGGATCTTAAAAGAATTGTAACTAGCGTAAAATAGAGAATTTTAACTAGTTTAATTTTTGTGTAAAATAGTTCCAAAATATTCAAAATTATTTATGCACAGCTGCGAGTTACTCGTCATATATAAGCAAATTAAATAAACCGCAAGTGGGTCACTCGTCACTGGAGGGAAAAGGTTGCAATTTCCTGACAAAAATAAAAAGTTAGATTAAATCGAGGTGTGTTTTAAGAAAAGAAAATTAAAAGAATTGTTGCAAGTCGATATATTTCTTAATTATAAACGTCTTCCGCGGCGACCACCCTTTCTTCTAGTGCTGTCTGAAGGAATAGGTGTTACATCCTCTGTAATAGAAAAACAATTTTAAACTTTTAATACTTCTAAAAAAAAAAGAAAAATAAAAAAGAGAAAAAAAAAAAAGAAAGAAAAAGCCTTAACTAACCTATTCTGCCGATTTTCATTCCAGCACGAGCTAAAGCACGTAAAGCAGATTGTGCACCAGGACCAGGTGTTTTAGTTCTATTTCCACCAGTAGCCCTTAACTTAACATGAAGAGCAGTAATACCAAGTTCCTTACAACGAACAGCAACATCTTGTGCAGCTAACATAGCAGCGTAAGGCGAAGATTCATCTCTATCAGCTTTAACCTTCATGCCTCCAGTCACACGAACAATTGTTTCTCTGTTTAAAAGATAAACAAATAAAACTTTACAAAATTCGAATAATTTTTGGACAAACAAAAAAAGATATATGAGCATGGAAGAAAAGTAATATATTTATACAGGCCAAACTTTTAACAGTTATTACTTGTTTTTTACAACACCAGATTTTATTGTATAAGTAACTTTTTAAAGATTCTTTTTCTAGATTTTCATTCTAATTAAAAGCCCAAAAAAGTCAAAATTTTCTTTTAATTAGATTAGCATGGCACTCTTCTAGGTAAATAAAATAGAATTGGATGCCTAGATTAATAAAACACTAAAGAGTATTAATTACAAAGCAATAAAATTTAATTTAAATAAAATCATTACATATGTAACTATATGAACAGTTGTATAATTCATTCGATTGCTTTATAATGTTACATTAACTTACTTTATCTTAAACAATAACAAAAAAGGGACTTGAACCTTTAATATTTTTAACTGAACATGTTAAATTTTTTTTTTTTTTTTTTTTTTTTTTTTTTTTTTTTTTTTTTTTAAACATCTTCACTTCCAACAAGGCTGCAAGCAACCACTATAAGAGTTGGAAGTTACTGGAAGAGAAAAGACTAAATCTGTAGAGCAAGATAACGATTGACTGATGACTTAAAAGATCGCAAATTATATGAATCAGGAAAGCAAGATGAAGGAAGCGAATTCCAAAGAACTGATGTTCGAGGAAAAAAACTAGAAGAATAAGAATTTTTGAAGCACTTAGGAACAGTCACAGAAAAAGGATGAGATTTAATTGAATGGCAAGTAACACGAGAATGAATTTTAGTAGATGGCACAAGGGACGCTAGCTCTTTAGAGCAGTGCCCATTATAGTATTTGTAGAAAAGAGAAAGAGAAGCAACATTACGACGATGTGACAAAGGTTGGAGATTGGCTGCCAGAGCAGGTCCAACTATGTTTACAATTCGTTTTTGCACCTTGTCTAAAAGAGAAAGAGCATCATTAGAAGATCCGCCCCAGATGTGGCAACAGTATTCCATACAGGGACGGATTTGAGATTTATAGAGATAGAGAATAGAATCTGGAGTAAGAAAGTGTCGAGCTCGATAGAGTGATGCAACCTTAGCAGATGCTAATTTTGCAATGGATTTGATATACGGTTTAAAAGAAAGATCAGAAGTAAGAGTTAATCCTAGAAGATGAATGGTAGATGACTCATCTAGTACATTACCATTCATAAATATAGGAAGATCTAAATTATTACGATAACGATTGGCCGAATAAAATTGAGTTTTATCTGAATTAAAGTAATTAACTAATTAGAGGACTTAACAACATATCTTTAGATAATAGATAGGGCCCTGTGATCCAAGAATTTTTGTTTTGAATCCAATATCGAATCAATGTAGGTCTTGATTCACAATTTAAATCACATTTTGAATCGACATTTTAAAGTCTAAATTTAAGCATTTTTTATTTAATAATAAATACTTTAAATAAAGTAATTGTATCTCTTTATTGATGCTTCATGTCATGGTTAACCATTTAAATTGACTGATTAAAAAGGTATATAAGGATAAGTAATGTTATATTGGTTGCGCTAAACTGCAATATATCTAAAATACCCATAACAAAAGACTAAATAAGAGTTGAATTTTAAAAATTTACAAATCATATTTTTAATTCCATTCAAAATTTCAAAGCTTCACAGGACCCTAATAATAGGTTAAAATTTAGAAACTAAAAATTTAAGAAAAATACACAAATAGGATATTTAAGTTATAACAAATATATTGTTTAATTATATTAATTGTACATAAAAACAGTAATTTTTAAAACAGGAATGCAAAGTTCTATAAATGACAGACTCCAGGGCTTAATATTAGAAAAAACTCCTAGGACTCTTAAAGTTTTTTAATTCAAGAGTCCAAGGAGTTTTGAAGTAATTTACCCATAATTTTTAGCGATGAAGTACACTTGTAAACTATAATTTTTTAATTTGTCTGAAAATAAAAAATAAAAAAAAACTATTTCTCTGGGGTTGAAGACATTTTTACTAATATAATTTAGATAACACATTTATTTAGGAAAAGATTAAAGCAGAAACTGGCACAGTGCCACAACATTTACCATAAAAAACGAAGTTCCAGTTCAGCTACCACACTTGATTAACGATGTGGTAATATAAAATTACATCCTAGACAACTATTAATTTTTTTAACAAGCAGGACTTAAAATAAAAACAGGGATTCCTAATAACAAAGTCTCAAAAAGGACTTACATATATCATATATCGTAATCAATGAAAGAAATAGAATAGAAAAAAAAAAGTTAAAACTTTAAAATTGACAACATTAACAACCAGATTATACAGTCAATATGAAATTTTTTTTATAAAAAATTTAATATTCTTTGATTACATTCTTAAAATATTGTATGTTACTAATAGAGCTTTCTAATGCAAATTATCAAGTTTTGGAGCATAAAATAGAACTATTATTTGGTGTGTGCATGCTTGTTCAATGGTGTAATTATTTTAAATTAAATTCACTGCCACATTTTTTAAACTTTACTTGGTGCTTATTCAATAAGAATTAGTTGTATCTTTAAAATTTTTAAGGTAACTTTAAGGTAACTTTAAAAGCCTAGTCTAAGTTTTATTTTTGAGAATCGGTTACCAGTGTAGATGTTTTTTTGATTTTTTTTGTCAGTAGAGGTTTTTAAACATTAGGAATAATAAAAAAGATTGCCGCCTAATTTTAAATCCTTAGTTGATAAAGCAGCACTACCTTGTAGCAGCAGGTTAAATAATTGTCAATGTAGCAGCAGACTAAAAAAAATATCCAATGATGTACTGAACCCAAAAAGTATTCTTTATTTTTAGTCTCCACTGAGAGAGCAAGCCTCCACACCATAGCACAACAGGCAAAAAAAAATATTTAAAATAAATATTAAATACAATTATTACAAACCATTTAACTTAGCTTTACTATTATGATAGAAAATTACAAAAATAGGTTTAATGCGAGAAAAATTTTAATCATAATTAAAAAAACTATAATAGTAAATATAGAGTAAAATCTGCAGCAGTGCCAACTTTCATTTGAAGAAAATGCATGAACAGTGAAAACTTACTACTACTAGACAAATTGGAGTTATACTTAATAATAAAAAATTATTTTGCGTTAATGCATGTTTATTTGACGGTAAAACTCATAAAATAACAAACTCATTTGATGGTAAAACTCATAAAATAACATAACAAAGAAATTAGTAGTATTAAATATTACATTACATATTAATGTATAGAAGATAAACTATAAAATAAAATAAATAATTTATTGTTATATTATATCATAATACAAAAAATAAAAATTACTATTATTAAATTATATATTAAAGTATTAAATTGTATTATATTATATAGTAATGTATAGAAGATATAGTTACGTTTTAACGATAAAATTAAATAAACAAGTAAAAGTTTAACTTAATAGCATACAACTTAGAATATAGATTTAAAATTGTAGTATACAATATTGAATTGTTTTAAATTCATAAGTTAACTTACTTTCCAGAAAGATCAGTTACATGAACAAATGTGTCATTGAACGAAGCAAATATATGAGCAACTCCAAAAACATTTTCGCCATCAGCTACCTAAAGAAAAGAACCATAACTTTGAACAATGATTATCACATTTAAATGCAATAATCATCACCATTTATTTCACATGCTACCTTTTTTACTTCTAATTTTCCAAGAAAGATATAAAAAACATCATTGAGTCTTTTTGGAAACGTGGCGGATCACCCATTTATCAATAAGCATCAAAAGAGTCTACAGGCGTCTACCTTCGTCTAATGACTTATTTTATTGATTTAATGGGGATACCATTCACCGCCACTTTTATAGAATTTTTCTAAAGAACAACTGCTTTATATGGGCTCAAAGATATTGAACTTGTCGTGTATTAAACTACAAAGTTACATTAAAAATAGCACTTAACAAATATATTATAACCTGTGGACCTAATGCAATTACTTGCTCTTCTTTCTGGACTTTCCCTTTTCTAGGAGCCATTCTAAATATTTATAAATTTTTAACTTTATAAACACAAAGAAAACAAAACTTTTATTAAATTACAGACGTAATGCAAAGGATCAAAGAGATAACATAAGGTATTTCAAAGCTTACATTTAGAACTTTAAGTGCGATCAAGCTCTATGTTCATAAAAAGAAAGAAGACTATCGGTGTCCGGTAATTTCTATCATTATATTCGGCGGAATAGACTATCAAAAAGGATTTATTTTAAGAACAGGGGAAAAATGCGGAATGCGGTAATAATCAACGCAATTTTTGAATGAGGTTTTAAGTTAAATTCACCTAATTGTCAAATTCAACAAAAACACTGTATTTAAAAGTTTTGTTTGGACTTAGATTAATGAAAGGAACGCTAATCACTTCTAAGAAAAATTACGAGATTAAAACTAATACATTTTAGGAGTCATTGTAACATCAGTTTTTGCAAAGTCTAATAACATCTGTCCGAAAACATCTGTTAATACACTGAGGTACAATAACATCTGCCCAACAACATCTGAAATTTTATTGATGTCTAATAACATCTGGGTAAGGGGTTGCCCATTAAAGACGTCATTCAGAATTTAAATACTAACCATAAGTAGAAGTTTATTGGCTCACTTCCGCGGAGATTTTTATTGACCATAAGGCGCTCTAATACTCTGAAAATCTCTGCGCACAAGAACAACAATCTCCAACTTCTTGCCATTAGTTAAACTTAGCGTGACGTCCTTTATGGATGATTCCTAAAAAGTATATGGTTACTACAGATGTAGTTATATTTTTTTAATTATCTATGTATAACAACATCTGTGCAACTACATCTGGAAGTTTTACAGATGTAGTTATATCTTTTCAATTATTTTAAGAATAACTTCATCTGCACAACTACATCAGTGTATTTTACAGATTTAGTTATATCTTTTCAACTATATTTAATATAACTACAGGATATTATGAAATTATTAAATTATAATGCGTTATTATAACCAGATGTAGTTACATATACGGTTTTTTTTTAGATGCAGTTACATCTAAAAAAAAATAATAAATGTAAAAGTATTACTTTAACCAGATGTAGTTAGAATAAAAAGTTTTTTTCAGGTGTAATAACATCTGGAGGAAATTCGTCCAGATATAGTTACATCTTCCTAAAGATGTTGTTAGGGGTCATTAAATGATGTTGGACAGATGTTGTTTGAGTAAAAAAAAATACAGATGGTGTTGGACAAACGCGTACAGATGATCTTGGACTTCTCTACAGATGTTGTTGAACAGATGTAGTAATCTCTTACCTTTTTCATATTAAAAAACTAATTTGGCAGCAGCGCCGCATATCAAAAAGCAAATGTAATATTTGTAATAATTGCTACACAAACAATACTCTTCGGAAAGCTATTTTAACAACAATTTAAATAATTTGATAACAAATTAAATAGTTACAGGGCCGACAACCCCCAATTTTTTCTGAAGGACCTTTTTTTTTCTTTTTTTTTTAGAAAATTTTAGATATGGAAGACTTTTTTTAAGAATTTACAATTGTTCCCCCCGCTCCCACTTCGAAACCCGTGTTGTCGGCCCTGAATTATCTTTGTAAATCTTGTAACAGTTACAACACTACAGTTCTTTAGTACTTTCACACAAAGTAATTCTGGTGTAAATGCATATAAAACCGTAGGGCTAATCTCACGAGAGAGAAAATGAAAGAAGAAAAGGAAATAATTTAATACTCTATGTTATGCAATTACTATTAAAATACAAAGAAAATATAAAAGTGGGACTTTTAATGGAGATTGAAGAACGAGATGATAGTTAAACATTAAAAAACAACTTTTGATTATAAAAAATGATTTCAAAAATGCTCAAAAGTTGCAAGTTTTATAATAGCTATAAATTTTCTTATGCAACGGCCTTACCAACGGATTGTTTATATTAGATTAAAGGTGCTTCAGAGCTTTTTAACTTAAACAATAGATTTAATTTTTGACGTTGGAGCCATTTTCATTGTTTCCATCCATGTTTATTCAACTGAAGAATCCATAATATCTATGAACATGTACTACATTTACATTTAATACTTATAGAAAAACTTAAAGTCTCGTGTTTTACTTTTTTTCACAACACTCAAAAAAATCTTTCCTTGCGTATTAAGGAAAAAAAAAATTTCCTTTCCGGTTTTTCCTTAAAAATTTCGTTACCGTAGTAAAAAGTATTCTTGATTTTAGGAAATTTATTTCCTTAAATCCAAATTAAGTAAAAATAAAGGAGAAATTTTAATTGAAAAACGCTTTTATTGTATTCGATAAAAGCGTATTTTCTTAAAATAATGTGCGCCTTTAGTGTTACAGTAATGGCGCTGATATCGTATGAAATAATAAAAATACATTGTGTTTTAAAAGTTCTTTATTTACAAAAATTGTTGTTATTTTTATTATAAGAAAACAGTAAATTGTTTCCCAATCGTTATAACCCTGACCCTGATTAGAAAAATTGAGTAAGCTGGTATAAATATATAAAAGCCAATTGAAATTTACTTTATTAATCATTAGCTGACAGTTTAGGTAATACAATTGAATTTTTGTATTTTATTATTTTACTGGTATTTTTATGATTATTATTATAGAATTTTCTATTTTGCGAAACTATACCTAAAGATAATTCAGCCTACATAACTCTGAAAAAATAAAACTTTTTTTTTTTATTACCACTTTGTTTCAGATAAACTTGCTGAAAATTTCAAGAGAAGCTTGAACAAAAAATAATTATTGGTAGAAAATAAAGTAAATTTCAATTCATGAGAATTTACTAAATTAAAACCATATCTTAACAGTAGTTAAATTAAACATAAAAAATGAAGTAGAACAGAACCATGTCGTCGAACTAAAAAAAATAGGAAAAAAAAATTAATTTAATAAAGAAACATTTTTCAATTTGAACAAAACAAATAATTTTTTTAATGAAAATATAATAAAATCAATACTAGTTTTTGTAGAACATAAGAAATAACAAACATAGAACTTAAAAACATATATACATAACAAAAAATTAATATGCATAAGTTTGGAAAAAAATTGAATATCAATATAAAATTACAATATCTTTAAATCAGGCTAATTTAATAATGATATGTTGGACTAATAACTATACTAATTAAAAGTGAAAAAAAAGTCCTATAACTTAAATATCAATAGCTCTATAAATTCCCAATCACAGTAAAATATAATAATAATTTCTAACATTCGATACTAGTTTCATACATTTTGTATTGCATGATTTACTTAGAGGGATATGATGATTCAGACGTATACTTGTAAGTCTGTTTTACATAATTTTATAACTTATTGATATATAGTTGCATAATTCTTATTACTATTACTTCATGCCATTATCACATCATCTTACATAAAACGATTTACTAAGGGGAGGTAATAATTTAGAAACTCAGAGATGTATTTGTAAAGTATTTTTAATTTAATATATATCTAAAAATTTATAGTTGTTGACTATTTATTACATCTTTTAATACCTTTACCATACCATCTTTTAATAAATGATTAACTAGGAGGAAGAAGGTAATTCAGACGCAAGTTTAGTAATTTACTCGGGGGGAGGGTCTAATTCAGACATGTTTTTGTAAATTATTTTTACATAATTATTCAACTAATTTAAATTTAATTAGTTAGCTTAAACAGAAATTATACAACTATCAACTAATTATTAATTATTTTCTAGTTGTAAAATTTCAATCATTATTCTTTAATAAAGATCAAACCAGCTTACATTGAGCGATTTACGTAAATCTTTGTAATTACAAAGGGGAGGTATTAATTCAGACAGATACAATTTTTAACTGTCTGAACTTTACTTTTTCATATACTGTTATAAAATAAAAGTATTTGTAAAATATTTTCATGTAAGTAAATAACTAATTAGTTTATAGTTAATTATTTTTTATCACTACCACTCTTTCTTATATCGTCTTTCTTTTATTACTTTTATGTAAATTTTATTTCTAGAATTCTCGTCCTCTAAGCGTTTTTTTCTCCTTGTTTATGTTTACTAAAGTAGTACGGACGTTTTAGGTACACTTCTAACAGTTATAACCCGAAAGCTCAAAGCTTTGAATTTTTCATTGGGGGATGGAATAATTTAGGCGGCGGAAACAATCTACTACAGTCCTCTAAAAACTTTAGAATTTCAGTTGAACCGTTATTAAAATTTATAACTGCAGAAGCTACACCTAACTCAAAATTGGTTTTACAAACGTAGATATCTTTTAGACACTGTTTCCATATCATTCCATTAAGTGACTTCTTGTTATTTTGAGTTTTGCCATTCAGAAATTTTTTTAATAAAATATCATCACTCAAACTTAAAAAAATTGCTTTATTTTTTCAAGGACTACATATGGTATTTCTCTCTTATATTTATACGTTGCTGCACCATTTATATTGTCAGCCTGATATTTTACACCAACTACCAGAAGTACATGGGCACATTTGGTCCCTTTTTTCAATATCTTTTGCTTCAGAGCAATGAAAAAGCACTGTTCCAATAGCTTTTTTCAATGGGTAAACAGTAGACCTTTCGATTGTCGAATGCAATACCAAAATAGTTTTGTAATTTATTTATAACATTCTGAGTAAAACGACCTGTACCTCCTAATGATTTTCCGTCAGATAACTTCTCTTTATTTGTTGCTTTGAGTTTCCGTAACCGCTCTCCGACTCGCTTTTTACGTGCCATACATTCTAATTTCTCAACAACCATGCAATCATATGGATTTCTAGCAACAATATGGATATATGACTTTGAGGCTTCATCCGCTATGAAATTTGTATATTTGTATAATGGATAATATACAGTTGGGTTTGAAGAATTTACACAGCGTAACAAGCTGGTGTTATCAGTGAATGAAGATGATGCAAAAATTATTGGTCTGGCTTCATCAGTGGTTTTAGAAAATAATGATATATCAAACGATTGGAATAAGGAAAAATGAAGTCGTCAAGTTAATGTCGACCTCATTTTTAGAGGTCGGCAAAAAAAAATTTATACAAAGGTCTTACCATAAAACATAAAAACGAGGTCGGCAATATTTTGCCGATCTCAATCACTTTTAGGTCGGGAGTTAGGTCGGCATTGCCGAATGCCCAACCTAATTCCGAGGGTTGTGTATCTGATGATAAATATGATAGATTTATTTTCTTTCC